GAAATGATATCAAAAAGTAAACTAAATATTATGTTTTGAAAAATAAAGATCACAGGTTCAGTAAACTGAAGTTGTTAAATTTAAGTAAGCTTAATCTAGAAAGATCTAGTAAGCTGCATTTCTACGGTTGAAGTAAGCGAAAGCGTTAAAAACGTAAACGGAAGATTCGTTTAAAAATATAAAGATTAAAGGTAAGTAAGCTAAACAAAACAGATATGTAGTAACGAAAGTGATTAAGATAAAGCAATTTAAAGCAAAACCTTTTAAAGCTAAAGTAAGGAAAATAAGTTTCAGCATGCAAGATAAATCTAAATGAATAAAAATAAGTAATTTAAAACAGGTAAGATAAAGTGATAAAGATAAATCAAATTGGAAATGTAAGATAAAGATAAAGTAACAAAAATAAATCAAATTAGAAATGTAAGATAAAGTCAAAAGATAAAGCAAATTAGAACTTTAAGATAAAGATAAAGTAATAAAGATAAAGCAAGTTGAAGTATGTAAGATAAAGCTAAAGTTATGAAAATGAAACATGTTAAGGGAAATAAGATATGGTTAAAGTATTAAATATAAAGAAGTTAAATGAAGTAAGATAAAGTTAAAATAATTAAGATAAAGTAAGATAAAATAGTAATGAATCAACTATTTAGACAAAATGTGCATCATCTTGATAAACAGTGTTCCATAACTTAAAAGAGAGATGATAAATGAAATTGACTTGTTCAGATAAATTGTTACATGTCAAGGTTGGACAGATTACATTTTACCAGCATGGATATCATACGATCATTTAGATTATTATGAATTTAAGCGTAGAAAGAGCATATCATTGATTAAACATTAATCCTATTAGAAGTAAAATTATCCACAAAAAAGAAAATCAATTTGAGGATCCATATATCTTGTGTAGATCTCACAAAGCAATATCTACACGACCTCTGTCATTCTACGTACAACACAGACCATACAATATAATTCGATGTTTTGTTAAAATTTCAATAACATGTATTGATCCCAACTTTCTCGCGCACATGTCGCATGGGTACAGTTCTTCTTATCAAAGAATTGAAGTTTAATCTTTGTATATCGGGATATTGTATTACCATTCACTATGTGAATTGCAATGAAATAAGACTCTTTTAACTTTCCATTCAAACCTTAATATTGCAATATTGAGAAGAGGATACCAAATCGTTATCTACGTTTATAAGTTGACATTTACCGGTAAATGCATAGATCACCTGGTATGCTATATATATACATACACTCAAGGTATTGGCTTTGGAGACCTGCACAATTATTTGTATTGAAATTTTTAACAATTGTTTGTCTGAAAACTGTACAAACACTACGTATTTATCCTATATAACTGAAACTCAATGACTCGGAAAATAATCATCATTTCATGTTAGGTAGTCGTTTGAGGTAGATTGGCCTGGTTTTGAGGTAATCTAGCTATGGTAAGGTAGGTGTTGATATATATTTACATGTTACGTTATTATTGTACATACTGGAAAAAATTACATGAATTTAATATTTTTTCCATGGAATACGTTTCTTCTTGCATTTTCATGATTACTAAATACATTTTAGGTGTTTATGATTGCAAAGTGTTTTCTAAATATGAAATTTCATTGTTTATTGTCGAAACGTTTCTGTCGAGTGCGTACCCTCCCAGATACACACAAGACATTGCCTTTCTTCTTTGTTAATTTATCTTTAGTTTCCTTTACTTTGTTCGTTGATCTTTAACACAATGCACAGCAGACTGTGATCTAGTCTGAACTAATTTCATGGCCGTCATGTTTTCATGGACTTTTGAGATCAAGTTTTGTCTTTGTGTGTTCTCGATTTCGTTATATTAGTTGTGTCCTAGCCCGCAGATATAGTTAGCGTCATTTTTGGTATATATGGTTAGTTCCTATCAGCACTATGCAATAAGTTAGTGTATAATTTCATAAGATTGTTCAAAATTCCCAAAATGTTACGTTGAGAAATGTTATTGAATCTAATGATTTTATCGCTAATCTTTATCCTGAACGTGCACATTTAGTACTAAAACACTGTCAAAAACAAAACGTTTTAGACACTGCTAGTGAACTTTAAGTCCCCGAGATTTGCAGTAACCTGCTGTCACATCTTAATTCACTCAATAGTGGCACGGTTCAGAAAATACACATGTACATGACGCTGTTCTAAAATTATCTGATGTATGAAAAGCACGGAATTTATTTAATTATGGGGCTGCTGCACCTCCCCATCTAGATTTTGATTTTTCATTTGATCTCTTTGGATTTCCCTTAGTCGCCCCGAGGCTATTTTAGGTCCTTAGGATCAATGAAGAGTCCTAGAAGAACGAAACAGCTGTAGGATGCAGTTCAATTAATTGTTCGACTCTACTGTATCTCACTCTAAATTATGAAATGATGTTATTTACGTGTGTGTCTTTTGTACGATTTATGTAAAAGTCTATGTAAAATGAGATCTGTCATATCAAATGTATATTTGAACTATAGCAATGATTTGAAAAGCAATGGTATGTTATCACAATGTTTTGGACATGAGACACCACAGATGAAACACTTGCCTTTTTCATTCTATGTTATTGGAGGATAATGTGTTTGATTCCGTATTTTGGCACTTTCTTCTCATTTTTAAAACATTTATGAAGTTTTGTTACATCCAACATTTGATATAACAAGTTTTCCATTATTTGAATGAAAAAATTGATTTCATAAAATCTTCCGGAAACACATTCCGACGTACATGGGCACCTAGGAAATTCAATACAGCATATTTGTGTTGCGATATTTTCAATATCCTGTTGTAATACCATCAAGATGAGGAAATTGATATAGCTTGGATAAAACAATGCTTGAACGTTATCTAAAATCAATACATTGTATTTCAAAATAATTCGTTTGTCAGATTTATTTATTTGAATAGGTTATATTGTGTTTTAGATTGCTATCCAATGAGTCTTTATGTCCCATATCAATTTAAAAGTACCTATTAGTAACGAGAAAAATGAAATCTAGCTTTCACCAGTGATCATAACACACGAGGTGTTGAAAGCATGCGGATTTCTAATGGTATTCTACATGAAAAATTACATAAAAAGCACATCACAGGATTTTCAATAGTTGGTGATTAAAAAGGTAAGTAACATGGCAGTAACGTTTAGATAGAAATTGCGGACTAATTAATTGAAAGCCAAAAACTTTAGTGAAGAAAGTGAAGTTGTTATTGGATAACATTTGGTGTCACACCTGTTCTTTGAAAGTTTGTTTTCGAAATTTTGTGTCACCGAATGTAAAATGCACCTTATTACTAACATATTTAATGAAAAATCACATCTTGTCATTAGAGACTTACTGTCTATAAAGACCGCGAAAAATTACCTTTACCTGTATACTTGGACCATGCCTTTGAAAACCTTCAGTGCATTAGGAAATATTCAAATTTGTAAACGGCCTGTAAAACGTTTATCATACATGAGATGTGAACGCATGAAGTGTGTCAATTTCAATCGCAATCATCAAAATTGTAAACCTCTGTAAAATTTTCAAGCTCAGAAAAAAAGTTTAAACTTTGAATTAGGAGCTATTTTTATATAATTTTCTGTTCTTATTTGATATGTTTATTTCAATTTAATTTTGTTGTATCTGTCCTTTTATTAATTTGATAGTTATAGCATTGTGGGTAAGGACATTAAGATAAGTTGTAAATGGATATAAAAAGGCATAGCCGTGTAATAGCTGAATACTAGGATTTTAATGATGAAAATTGTACAAAAGACACACAAATGCAGAGTTAACATTAGGTATAGTATAGACAAATAATGAAATAATCTGCATCAAATACATGTATGAATATTTATATATATAAATGATTTTTGACAAAAGAAGAAAGACGTTACATTTTGCACTAGCGCTTTCACTGTATTAGATCTTCAGGTGCATAGTAACTGTACATAATGGCGTGGCGTCACAACATGTTATCTGTTGATGACGTCATAATATAAAAGGGACATAATTATATTTTGCAAACTTTACAATGCGGTTAAACATTAATATTCAAGTCTGGTTTTAAAATGTTTATAATTTCTGACTCCTTGGCTTCTTTTTGTATTCGATTGGTTTCAGATAAAAAAGTATACAGGGGGAAGATTTGGAAAAAGCCGTCGTTGCATCCTGCTATGTGTCGGCTGATTGGTAGATGTCTATATCTTTCGTGGGATATTTGTTCGCGATGTGTGTGTGTGTGTGTGTGTGTGTGTGTGTGTGTGTGTGTGAGGGTGTGTGTGTGTGTGTGTGTGTGTGTGTGTGTTTGCTTCTTCCTTCTACGACTCGTCAGCGATACTAAGGGTCTGAATTTTGAAACTTCAAAGATAATTCAATAAATCTCGTAATTTTGATATATCTGATAAAATCCGAAGAAAGTTAAGTTTATGTGTATGAATGAAAACTTCGGGAAATTTACGTTCACCAGCAATGTATAGAGGAATTCATGTTGAAACAAAATATGTTATGAAACACTATGCCCCGGCTATAACAAAATTTTGAAGTAGGACATTAAAACTGTACCCTGTAAGGCATGTGCTAATTGCATGCACATTTTTTTTTAAAATTTCAGTTGTAGGTTGTCAAAGGTTACAGTCAATGTCACATGGTCAGAAATGTTGGTACCACCGGAAATGTCTTGTTACAAGGAACACACATGCCAAATATAACAGCCCTATGTCTGACAATGCGATAGTTATGAACAAGGTTAAAGTTGACAACAATATGACCCAGATTTTTAGATCCAGGGGTATAAAAATCGAAATTGTTGATGAAAATAAAAAATGAGACAATACTATCTAGGATTTTCCTGAAATTGTAAAGATATATTTCTATGAGAATTGTATTTTTTCTAACATAGGATGGTTTACTAGGTTTAAGCCAGTAATTTGTTTTGGAAATAATGAATCTATGTAAACTTGCCCATGTCTATTGTAGGATCAGACGTTAACTGGAAGACAAGCTTCGGAAGGACGTCCGTCCACGCGGCGGTCAGTGCCGACTGTGTGTGCATCCTAGAATTACTGGCCTCCAAAGGAGCGACCTTGGATGTTCAAGATGTCCATGGAGCCTCTCCGAGTAGAATAGCTCTAACCCAAGGATCAACTCTGTGTAGCAAGAAACTGCGCCTGATGCAGTTAAATCTCAGGGGCAAATCCGCGCATGCGCGGGCTTCTGAGAGGATGGTTTCAAGGCCGCCACGAATTCCAAGTGAACCAGTTCGTAGGCCTCCAAATTTACCCTCCGATACCTGGCGAAGGCCAACTACTGTCCACGTCAGCTTTCCCGGAGTCGGGGATGCGTCGAAGACTAAGTCATTGGACAAGCATATCAACATCACAGGAACCAATTCACACCTCAGTGAATGTAAACACTCTAGCTCTAGTGGTTTCTTTGCACCTAACAACCATGATATGTATTTCGAAAGAGCAAAGAACTTTACAAAAGGGCAAGAGAAGAGACAACTCGTCCAGTCAGAGGATGGCGGGAATGTATTGTTTGGCAAACAACTAACAATTCTGAGATCAAAACGAGTGTTAAAATTCGGTTCAGACGATGACATTATCAGAAGCCATACTCCTGGAAGTATGAGATCGGAAGGATGCTTAACTCCGTCCCTGACAAACAGAAACAAATCTTCTTTGTCGGTCAACAGTGAACAGTATGCAACAAACAACACCGAAGATTCTAGAAAAACTGCATTGAATACTGACAAGAAATCACCCAAATATGTGCGGTTTTCAGCGAACGAACGGTAAGAATTGAATGTATAGTTGGCATACATATAGAAAAGTGATGTGAACAGTCGCATATACATATCTAATGCTACACTTACTTTTGTTTAGATATATGAAGATATATAGCAGTCAAAATGAATAAACGTCAAATTTTTTATTACAATTTTACGAAAGTCACATAAGTGAAAAACACATTTTTAACCAATTGAGATTTAGATACAGAACAAACAGATAAAGAGATGAGCTACATTTTACAGCTGTTTTTAAACTTTGAAACGATGGGAGCGACTGAGGAAAATCTAGGTGGATGGAAAGAAATGTCAAACTGTAGATAGGGAAGTACGCTAGTAACAGGATTAAATCTATTTGATTTTTAGAACCTGATGATTTCAAAAGAACGTACATCGATTCTGAACCGTGCCACTTTCCGAATGAATTTAAACGTGGTATGCAAGTTGCTATCTACGAACCACGTGACATGAGTGTAACAAGCATATACCATCACCATCTTTCTTCTAACTGGTCAATTCGTGACAACTATATGATACCATACATTACATGATTAGATCTGACCTGCCTCCTGTGTGAAAACTATGTTCCCATCAAAATATCGTGTCCTGAACAAGTATGTTTTGTGACTCATGTCCCGTGATTATAAACACTAATGACAATTTTTTCATATTTGACCTTGTAAAACAGCTACATATCTCACGAAATTTAAGATTACATCGCCCTAATCGGCAATCATTATCCTTTTTCATGACCTCGGATTCTATATACGTTAAAACTATGTTTAAGTGGCGATATTTTTGTGATATGTATCTCTGTGTGAAAACAAGGCTGTAACACCAGTGCTTTTCTATCACAACTACACCTTCGCGTCCAAAAGGAGACAATTATTTTTTAACTTGCGACGACGTCGTGATATTGACTACATGATTTAGGATAAACAAAACCAAAATTAAATTTACATGATTAAGAAATTTCAGTGGTTTTTGCATCATCTGAATTACCTAAAAAATTGATTTTTTAATTTTTTTTAGTTTGATGACGGGCATAATTAGATTGCATCCTTTACACTATTTGTGAATACTTAACTTGAGAAATACATTACAATGCCACTAATTCTACAATTGTTTTCTCCATGAATTTATGACACCATCGTATTGGTTCTCGTCACTTAAATATATTGATGTCAGTTATAATCTTCCGGAACACCTGGTCTTAAATTCATTGAACATTTTCAGGATTCTTCGTGTAAATCTTTCTGTTGTTCATATTTCCCTGTTTTTGCCGAATTTTAGTATGAATTATGATTATGTTGACATGTTGGTATTTCCTTTCTTTTTTTTCTGTAAATCTTGGTCAATCTAATTAAGTAATGTCACGTTCTCAAATGAGAATAAGATATACAATAACGAAACCACAAGGCAAACTAACGAGCATCAAGCACCTTCAGCATCATATCGCACAAAGAAACGGAATATTTCTCAATGAGATCACTTTAGGGACCGCAAAAACTTCTCTATCATTTTTTCATAAACCTGTATCTCCGTCAGTTGACGACTTCTTGATATTGTGCCCCGATTGGATACCGAATCAACTGCGGCATGTGTACACCATAGGTTGGGGATACACCTATGTTGCTATCCAGAAATGGAAAACTCACAATAGTAAAATTGAAATCATCACGCTTATAATACAGCTTGGTGATATTATACCAATGTTTGTTTCGTCACCGGAAAGCATCGATATAGGTGGCTGATGTAGAAGGGTTGATCGTGTCCTTGATTTCTGATTCTGGTGGAGCTATACTATAGACTTGATCAATACATTTCCTGTTGTCTAAGACAAGACGCCATCAATATATCTGAAAATGAAACTAAACGACTTTGCAATGTGAACTGTTTTGATAAGCACTTCGATCAATTTAAAACAAAACAAATTTAATTGATTGAAAAAATTACTGCCAATCATTAAATCTTACAATATACCGAGGTCCGCCGACAGTTTGACCGATGTGTTGGTTTAAGTAAATGTATCATAAAGTTTAAATACATTCAATAACGAATTGTAAAAAGGTTTAGCATGTGAACTTTAAATATATCGATTGTATTATATTCATATGAAAGTTTACATATACCCATATACGGTGTGAGTAGTGTTTGCGATGTACCTGTAAATGGCATGTGTCCAATTATTTACATTGCATTCAGGACATAAATATATGCACATCTGTATGACACTACTAATTTGAATGCACTTGCGCACCACACATATACATCAATTATAGACCTTTGAAGAGGTCAATATGGTGTTATGTATACATGGTAGAAAACTCAGAACAAGGGAACAATGACAAGGTTATAAGGTTATCAATAACGATTTAAAATACGGTATAATACGTGGTCTTTGTTTTCATTTCCTGTAACTCTGATCCATGACACTTATAAGATATAGAAATCAATTATGCTGTTCATTGTGTATAGATATCGCGTTCATCACACAAGTATTAATGGACGCTAACTAAAATGTCTAAAACCCGACTAATATTTAATTTGATAGAATTATAATTTGATTCCAAATATTCAATGTATATGAAATTAAACTGAAAACCAACGTTTTCTTTGTAATGAATCACATTTGTGTTCCAGCAGGTAGAAAATAGCTTTCAAATCAAAGCTTTTTCATTTTTTATCATACACTAAATGATTACCTTATACTGTATAACACGGAATGTTCGAGGGGACTTGTGATCTACAAATTAGATAATACTTTATATAAGGTAAAAAACCTTCTTGTATACTAAATAACTACACGTATAATATATTTATTTATATCTAAAAGTTTACCACAGAATTTGATAAAGTGACATACCTGTAATAAAGGAAGTTGGACATGCAAAATCATCAAAGCTTTTTATACCATACTAAATCCTAATGACAAAGAGTTTATTCAGGAGACCGTAAATGTATACTAACATCTATCTTCCAAAATCTTCTGTAGTGTGTATATACATAAGGTTTTTCGGTTGAGACGTCTTCGTAATTTAGGCATTTTCAATAACGATGTATTCGAGGATTCGAAATGTATGACAGCTAGATGAATAAGATAAAATGCATGTAACATAGACATAGGAAGGTAGTTCATATCTACGAATTCAGAATAAGTTTGTTCATATCATCTAAAAATTGGAAATCGAGAAATTGATAGATAATTAGAATAAACAAATAAAAAATAGATGAAAAATATTTTTTTAGAAATAACAAAAACGTATGAGAACACATGAATTAGCTAATGAAGAAGCAGCGCTTTCAATATACATTATATGCATGTTCAATTCATTCACTACTTTCATTGCTTTTTGTTAAATTACAGATGCTTGACGATTTTCCCCAGAAGCAACACAAACTTGAACCCTAACTCGATAAAACGGAAGATCCATCTCGTAACTGGAACAAGAAAGATTAATGTTCCCAAACAGACGGCTTATAAATATGGCGATTCACATAGTGCATGGCTGAAGAAGAAAAGTGTGATCGAACGGAAATTAGAGCCGGATTCATCATCTAGCGATGAAAGTGATGGAAATGAGGATGGAAATAAAGAGGCTTTCAATAACTGGTTAGAAAACAAAAAACATCCACCTGAATCCAAACGTCACGTGACCGGAAACCGACCACTTCATGGCATCATTACAATCGGAAGTACAGAAGTTGGAAGTGCAGCACAACCCGATTCTTCTTTCAACATTCGGGCATATAAAGAGTGGTTGGGCAGGCGAAAAAAGCATGGCCCAAAGTCACACCGAATGCGTACTATGCAAGATTTTATGTCGCAGAAACGGAAACTTGAAGAGAAAAGACAACAGCTTTTGCTTACCGCGGTTTCTTACGACGAGTGGCTTGAACATACTGGTGAGAAACAGGCGTTAATACGTCAGATCCTCAGTGCAGATTTAAATCAGCTGAGGATAATAGAGGAACGCGAGCTGTATAAACGTCCCAAACTGTATAGTGTTAATGGACAGACTAAAGCTAATACTACAGACAGAGGTAATATGACGGTAAATAGTCAAGACAAAGAAGCGCTGAGAAAGGAAATTCTTGGGTACAATGTTTCTGTACACAGACTCGAACCGTCTATCAAAATCAACAACTGAACGGTAAATTTACGTCAGAGACACAATTAAGGTCAACGGCACTCAGACGTGGTAATGTCACGAAGTTTTGAAGTGATTTGACAAGAAACTCGGCTATCATAAATGACCCGATTTCGTTTAACGAAATAGACCTCTTGATGAAGCATTCTGTATACAAACCAATCACCACCAAGCTCTAGTATATCTATCTCCATGTTTAAGTTTTGTGTTGTCATTGTCAAAGAGTTATTTTGTTCTCTCAAAAAGAGACGCTGCCATCTACTGTTTTCCACAGGTGCTATTTTCTCGGTTAAAGTGGCAAGTATAACTCCGTTATGTGTTAAGTTTTGTGACAGTTTAATATGTTCTTAAAACGTCTTTTACTGTATTGTGATATCTTAAAAGTAAGATTATGATGAAATGTGTCACCTTTCTTGAACAATTATGAAGTGCTAAGAAGGAACCAGGCGCAGATGTGTTATTAAAAACGCAAAGGAACTGTGTAATCTGAAGTATACTTTCAAGATAATGTAGATATATTTTTCTTCTGTTGAAAGGGCCGCAACTCCGAAATGCTGTCCATTCCGTGTTATGTTCATTTTCTTACGTATCTGATTAAACCGATATGGTTGACAGAATTCAAATTTTTGTTACACTCCTAGGTAAAAACGTTTCTTTAGCAATATCTTCATAAACACAGACAGGGTTTGATAACCGAGAAATTTCTGAAATTCTCTAAATTTTTCATGAATTCCTGAGGAATTTCGAAATGAAAAGTTTTGGAATATTATGCCGCATAATGACGAACTAAATGGGACAAATGCTTTGAAATTGAAACACAAAGTTGGCTATATACATGATACAGTAGTATGATATAGATTTGTTGACTTTTAGATAGATCAGGAACTAGCAGTTAAATCCATGAATAAAATTATACCAATTGTATCGTTATTATCATATGTTTTGTTTTCTTTTTTAGTGTTTTCTGTTTGTTTGTTTGTTTGTTTTTGTTTTTTTTTTTTTTTTTTGAGGTGGGGGAGGCGGGTTTTTTTTGTTTTTGTTTTTTTGTTTTTTTTTTTTTTGGGGGGGGGGGGGGCTGGGCTTTGGAGGTTTTAGGTTTTGGGTTTTTTTGTTTTTGTTTTTTTTGTGTTGTTTTGTTTTTTACAAAGCGCCGACAGTGACTATATACGCTTGTCTTTGTCAACAAAGAATTAAGATGATCAAACAGAAGAACAAAATACAAATTAAAAAGAAAATTATTCAAGATTTATATCATATTTAGTATGACAGATAATGGGTCTGGCTTCAACATATAAAAAGATTAGGAAAAATAGGATATGCAGTTCAAATTGCCACATCACTTATGTTTTCCCCTACAAAATGCAGCAAGTTGTGAAGATCTCTTCAAGGGAGATAATCTTCAACCGACAACATGTACTTCATTTGATAACAGTTTATTCAATTCCTGAACGACTGAATCCCAATAATTTTCAATCACTTTGATTAATGTCTGCTTAGAACTGAATAGATATCACTTCAAATAGAAACACACACACATACATCAACAATAATAGAAAAACATGGAAACAAAAATTGAAAAATTGATATCTTCGACGCTTATAAATTAAAAACCTGGTATGAAATGGATTCTTACATACTATGAAGATCCATTTGACAACTAGATCATTAACTTTAATTCCAACCTTTTTATCTGATAATGTGTATAGACATTAATTCATAAGCATAGTTGACTGACATTTTATATCTACATAAATAGGATTCGTTTACATATTAATGAGTCATTGTCTATATATCGTGGCCTTTATTACTATTTATATTTATCAAGGTTGGTCAATACATGGTAATTCATTTTTCCTTGCATTTGTTTCCCCAAAAACTAGATTTCAGACGACGAAATGTTGACGCTTCATTGTTTCACCTCGAAACTCGAAATCAATATTTATCGATATCGAAACTAAATTTCGGTTATTACCTCTTCAATAAATCGAAAAATCAAGAATCAGAAGTCACAAACATGAAACGAGCATAATTATATTTCATGTAATTTGCTCTGTGTTGAATTACTGTGAAAAAATATGTCTCTTTTGATAAATCACATTTCACTTGGATATGTTTATCTACAGGTATATCAAATCGATTGTCTCATTTTGACACACCTTTCATGGAGTTTATAAGATTTAGACATGTTAAGATAGGTTTTGATATTAACAAGAATTTATTACCAATATGACCTGTGACCTTTGGTGATATATGTTTTGGCCTATAACATTGGCCTACAGTGCAATCATAAGCGAAGTTAAATATGTGACCTTCCATGACATATAGTTGTGAGGATTTCACAGCCTTACAATAACCGCAGTCGAGTACCAGAATCAAAGGCGTGAATGTTTAGATCTCTACAAAAATAATGTGTAGACGGAAAACAACACTTCATTAATCACACTAAGCATCTGCATACTTATGTAATGATTACACGATCACTAACGTTTAGTCATATTTTAGGCCCCTTGTTTCTATTTTGACTCCTTGGATCTCACCCCGGAATTCGTCAATTACATTGTACGGGTGCAGATCCTCAGTGCTCCGTACTCCGGGCGGTTTGTGTTGTGGTTTTCTCAGGAAACTGAGAAATGAATTGGTCTATCCTGTGATAGTGCTCTTTGATAAGACAATTTACTCTAATTACTCTGGACACCATGTGACGGACCTCCCGTTTGTTATTCAGTGAGGTAGCCACCAGTTACTACAAAAAGATCCACCTCAAAATGACACTGGCTGTTAACAGGGCTATGAAACCAGCAAACAAACAACAACTGTTTGAAGAACCGATAAGCTGTTGAAATGATATTAATCAACTTAATTGATTTGTGTAAATATTTATTAGGACACACATTCTTTGCTATATTATAAAAATGTCCTCGGTTCCAAATTCAGCATTCAATTATATATGTGGTTATATGGTAGGGATATCGACTGTTTAGTCATATATGTATTTATCTCTCTATTTCCAACAAATATATTTGTAGTTTTAATGTAGGAATGTCAAATGTTTCCACGCGATGAATCCGGGGCAGACTGCCACAGTGACTTGCGATAACCACAGGGTCAATTCTTAAGTCTCGTGCGTGTTCGTCCTTCTTAACAAATGCACATGCGTTTATATAGTAGTGTTCTTATCAGAATTCAACTGTTCCACATATCGACCCTCGGTCAAAGACTCCAGGGGCTAGGGATGATTCCCGGGTTCATACCATAGGGGCCAGGGAGGCACCCGGGACTAACTCTGGACACATGACGTATACATACTAACATGCTGACACTGGTTTCACTTCTCAAGAGGGACCATTTTCAACGCATGGTAAAAAAATCTTTCAGTTAGGTTCCATTTTTCACGGTAGCCGGTTCGATTTTCAATGTTGAAATGGAACCCGGGTCAACATTACACCGACTTCCGGTCTCCATCGCCAGGAAATATCAGGTATTAGTGATATCTTTGCATTAAAACTTAAATACTAACATCGATATACATCATGTTCTTTATTGTCTAATGATTTCCCAGCTGTTGTTATAGCCGATAGGGTTTATATGTATCTAAATACCTATATTGATATACCGATAGTATAGGTATATATCTGTCATTTTATTTTATTTTCATGGTTTTGTAATTTTCCACAAAGAGAATTATCATTCGCTTTTATACTACTGCATGATTTTAACATTATTTATATAATATATTGTCCTATAATGCTGATAAGATTTGGTGAACGACTCCATATATTATTTCTGGTATGTGGTATTCATGATTTCCAGTCTTACTTAACGTAAAAAGCATTACGGAAGTTTAGACAAAACTTAAATTTAAGTCAGTTTCCTTGACTAATGTTATTTGGGCATATTTAAGTTAGGGAAATTTCCTTAAGTTAAAGAAGAAAGACGGTTATCAAACCAGGGCCTGTGTGCTTTGTTTTTGCTTACCCATCATCCGCCCCTCCCATATTACTTTTTGCTATGACCCCTTCCTTTGTTTACGCCAGATTATGCAGTAGCTTATATACTTGGCATTTTAGTGCATGTCTCCATATGTTATTTATCAATACAGGCAACAGTGGTTACATCTAAATGCATTTGTCGTATTCTTTTCTTGTCTTAAAATATTTCTATAACCATGTATTTCTTGGTAAGTCATTCATCTATAAATAGAAGTTTAACAGTTATCTACTATTCTATTGATTTGAATGATTTGAGATATTTAATCCCAGGACCTACTTACTATGACAGTAGAATATTTCTGGTTTTTATATATTGCCAGATCAGTTTTCTATTCCTTATCCCACCCTTGAAGGATTCCACTGAGAGTTTTGTCTTGCTCACTGTTAAGAGTCCATTTCTTATTTACCTCTTGATATCACTCGAGAGTGTCCCTTTTGAATCGTTCAACAGTCTTGTTGGGCCTATCCTGAATTGTTTTAATTAGTTCTTACGATCGGCTCTCCGCCACACGAAGGTGTGATATTGCTGGAATATGTTAAACCGATTTAGTGATAAAGCGTTGATAGTTAATGCAAGATTAGTGAGAGTTATGTCCCTTGTTTGCACTTGTGTATGTGAGTATAAGTGGTGCAGGGTTACAGACTGTTATAATCGAGTGAAGAAAGCCTGGTTCCGAAACTCATTAAAATAGTTGTGTTGTTTCACTTCAACCAATGCCGGTAACAGATGTATAAACACAGTGTCTCACTGAATAATGAATAATTACAAGCGCACAAAGTATTACGAGTCATTGTCCTACTCCACTTCTGTGCATACAGTGTTTACACGTTGTAAATATTTATTGTTGCATGTAGTCTTTTTGTTTTACATAAATCTTAATTTAATTTATATACATACATGTATGTCCCATCATTCGTACTATTTAGGTTTCATTCAAATCCCATGCCATAATGTAACAAGACACATGTATGATCAGTAATTTAGTCAGATGTAACATTGGTAGTATTGTAACTATATAGACTTTGCTCCAAACTGATGTATTATTCAACTGTCAATTGCCAATGTTGGAGAAAGTTTTAACTCTCAGTGTACACTAACCTAATGATAAATATATTTCTACAATTCTAAGGTGTCCTAATTTTGTTTTTGGAAAAATAGTAATGAAATAACACGCTTACTTAATTTTCTTTAATTAAGTTTACATAAACAATTGCTTTTAATGCTTAGAAATACCAGAAACCGGTCTATAAGATGCGATGTGAAAATCTTACCAGAATATTCTAATTTACCTACTCCAATATATCATTTCCTTGTCATTAGTGATTATTTCATCTAGACATGCAAAATGAAAGAAATCCAAATCATGATCTCGAATACGCTTGCTAAGCTTGTAGAAGCCTTGTTATCTTTGACTACGTTGATTCGCGTCTTTACTTCAAAGTAATGAACCGTTTTATGTTTTCAAAACCCTACCAAAGGTCTGTTTAATTACAAGTCTGCTATTTTTCCAGTATCCAGTTAACACTGACGTGTTACCAATGCGTTGATCTAATGTATGTATACATTGCAAATATAATGTACACTTGTACTTGCTCTGTGTAACGATACTGACCTAAAACCATGACCTCTTTGTAACATTTACTTGTACTTACCCTGTGTAACGATACTGACCTAAATCCATGACCTCTTTGTAACATACACTTGTACTTGCTCTGTGTAACGATACTGACTTAAATCTATGACCTCATTGTAACATATACTTGTATTTACTCTGTGTAATGATACTGACCTAAATCCATGACCTCTATGTAACATACACTTGTACTTGCTCTGTGTAATGATATTTTCCTAAGTCCATGACCTCTATGTAACATACACTTGTACTTACCCTGTGTAATGATATTGACCTAAATCCACGACCTCATTGTAACATACACTTGTACTTGCTCTGTGTAACGATATTGACCTAAATCCATGACCTCATTGTAACATACACTTGTACTTACTCTGTGTAATGATATTGACCTAAATCCATGACCTCTATGTTACATATACTTGTACTTACCCTGTGTAATGATACTGACCTAAATCTATGACCTCTTTGTAACATGTACTTGTACTTCCTTTGTTCTGCCTAACTGAAATTAGCCTTATTCCTGATATACCTGACACATCACACTTAACCATACTCCCATAATATCCATAGACATGATAGGACAGGACCTGGAGTTATTATTTACTACAAAAATACAATGCATATTAAAAGAAGGCTAGACCCTGATAACGATAATGTAGAAATGATAGCGATCGATATTACATCAGTTACTGTCATGATGTATCTATAGGCCAGAATATGAAGTAGATTATTGGAATAAATTAGAGAATGTTTTAGAAAATGCTTGCAACACATGTATTGATATCATCATAACATATATTATTGTAAATATGTGTAACTAGAACAAAAGACTCTTAGTAATATTTTTGGGCTTTATTAATACGACACACGTTAGAATACCTCTGAAAACACTAATGGCCGTTCATTAATTTATTATCTGAGTGAATAAATCTTATTTTTACTGTGTCATGTCATTGATTGTTCCAGTTATAGTAAAATGACTACAGCTTTGATGACTTATTAGCGGCAGATGTCGGAACCTTCCCTCCAGTCCCCATAAATAAAACGGGGTTCCAATTTGGGTCGGTCAAGGCCTCACGGTCCAGATTGAATCGAGATATATCATACTGGGTCCTCCCATCAACAGCCATTTCTGTCAGAATCTTTCCAACCAGACTTGCAAATCTGAAATTTACGATGTCATAGAAACACATAATGTATTCTTGTTATTCGTTCGGTATATATGACTGCACACATCGACCAAGTTACAAAGGGAGCTGAATTACACAGAGTTCGATAGAAACGTAGTTTCAAAATTGTAATAATGAGAGGCTTCTGTGCAAGATGAAACGAAACAAAACATAACGTTCCTTCATTTGACTTTAGCAACAAGTACAATATGTGACTTCTATTTGAGAAAATAACACGAAACAGCTGTTTCGTTTCTATAGCAAATGGTTTTAAAATCCAGGAAATTAAAATTGTTCATTATCTAATGATACATTCCTGATGACGAAAAAGGCCCAAGGATATCTCTTCACTTCTTAGGTTACTTCATACAGAACGGATGTGTTTCAAATTATCTTTAGTTAATCCAATGTGCGAATATCATACTTAATATTTATTTTTTTTTTTAAATATTTAAATTGCCCTGACAGTCTAATAATCATCTAACGTTACATCAAACGAGGAACACAGAATATCATCATTACGCGAAACTATTCCTTTCTAATTTATATATTGCCTTTTGATTCATAAAAATCTTGAAATTGAAATCTTGCAATATTGATAGATCTTTAGTCTCACTTATATACATGTCCTGCACCACAGCAGATTATGACGTCATCCCATCCTGTCTTGGCACAGGTATCGATGACAAAATGACGATCCGGAGGCATTGTGTATAAACAGGTCTTTGTATACATCAGAGGACCAAGAGACTAGAAAGAACAATAACGCAAGTTAAGGTTATTACACATGAATAATATTATATTCAATAGTATGTGTCACGACGTAAACAAAATGTCTAGTACATATTTGGGTATGGTGCATTGATGAAGATATTGCGTATGTATGATACTGGTGGTTTCCTCTTAAAACCTACTGTCCCGGTTCTTACTTTGATAATGTACCATTATTTTCATTGACTGAAATGAAATTATAAATTGATTAAAATATGATGCAGAATCAATTTATACGTCTGTAACACTATTTTTTTTAATTCTTCGTTATCTTCCGGTGTCCCCTTGTAAGTCTTCGGTATAGTTTTTATTGGTTTGATAGTTAGTACATAAGTGACTTTTCATAGTTATTCATGAATACGGTAGAAATATGCAAACATTATTTATTTGTAGTTTTATTTGAAGTGGATAGGCGATGGACCTTCCGTATATTCTTCTGTGAGGTAACTATCATTTACTACAAGGAGCACTCCTCAAAATGACTCTGATAATTAACGGGGTCATAAATCCAATAAACCAGCAGCAATTAAAAAGTGGATATCGATACATCATTTTAATGAGAATATCAACAACTAAAACTGACGACGGTTACAATTGACCACATCTGAGTTTATAAATTTCGCCTACAAATGTACCTTAGGTATGGTCTTCTGTAGGTGTGCTATGCAGGCATCCTCCCTAATTTTGTCTGGTTCAAAGGTTCGTGTGTCGGCTGTGACTACTGGCCCCCCAGCGTCTATGCCAATCTTACTACCAGAGTTACCATGTATGGGTAGTCCGTAGAAGTCGTATTTCGGTGAATGGTAAATCCAAATCGGATATCTGAAATTTGACAATTAAGCAGAAGTGTAAACTACTAATATCAAATTGTCAACCTTTATTAATACATTAAAACTGATGAATATGAAAACACTTCCTATCTTTCACCTAAGTATTAATATTTTCATTATGAAAAACAACAAATGAAAATATGAAATGTTAGTCTCTTCTGAATTAGGTAATTCTTGTTATGATAGAAAAGCTTAACTTGATATGGCATAGCTATTTTTTTTTCTCTTAAAACAAAATATGTAAAAATTGCGAAAAGATATATTGCCTTTCTTTGGTGAAATCTTTTACGTTTGGAGTTGCAAAGTAAGTCACTTGTTCCTGAGTGACATAAATTGGAATGTGAACGCCTACAGATCCAAGCACATGATTGATCCATGCTCCGGGGGCCACCACCAGACGGCGACACTGGAAAACCCCCTTTGTAGTGTACACCTAAATAACGAACAATTTGACATAACATCATCAAACTTAGATATTCTTGCAATAGTCACATCATTGAAATATCATCATAGATACCACCCGGATACCACCCGGATACCACCCCACTCCCAATCCTTCCCCTTGAAAAGCAGAAGCCGCTGGTGCTCAGCTGGAAAGTTCTTAACTGTTCGCATAATTCGCCTACTTAACACACAAAAATATTTTGATGCAACATGTCCTGTAGGTATATTATCACTCTTCAAAATGATACTTATCAGATATTGCATGATGATATCAAGTTCATTTGCCTAAATGCGGGGTATGTTTAAGCATTTTCTTTCCGCGGTAGTATCAAATCGTTTCCGAAACCGAGATTAGGATTTTCGAACTCTAAATATCGCAATGGCGATAAACCATATAACCATTTGAAGAGGTACGTTAAAACACCGTGGTTATGAAAGTATCACATAAGTCGAATTAGAGACGTACGATCACATTAGTCGCCTCATACGAAAACATCATTTGCAACATAGGTAGTTTTATCATATCATGTCTATAGTTGATGTGATGAGATGCTTCAATGTTGTAATATATTCTGACATCTAAATAATCGGTTCACTAGTTTCAGCTAATACGAGAAATATGCACGAAACTCTTTCTGGTTTTTCAAAATGAAATCATGATGGAATAGTTAAGAAAGTTTTAAGTATGAAATTCAATTATTCACCATATAGCTGTCTTGTTTCAGCAATTCATCAAGCTTTGAAATGCATTCTTATTTCTACGATGCTTGCATGAATTTTTTAAAAAATAACGAATGGAATACTTACAGTAATTTTCCCATCTTTTGCCCGTTCCACGCCTTTCACAGGGCAGTTATCTATGACTCGTGCTCCCCTCCCCTCGGCAAGTTGAATGTGAACGGCGTTAGCCATAGCTGCGTCTACCAGGCCCGCTTCTGGTTGATAAACTGCCTCATAAGTATCATCTATTTCAAATTGGGGGAAGCGTTTCCGTAGTGCCGAACCCTTCATTCGGTCATACCTAAATTAAATTGTTTAATCAGTAGAAATGCATTGTTACAGTGTTCATAATACCTACGTAAGTAAATCTATTTCTTACTTTCAATTTAGCCTTACCTTTTTGTGACCATGTAAGAAAAAGTCATAAATACAAGTTATGGACATAAATATATGAGAATAATAAAAACAAGAAAATTATTAAGAACCACAGACATTTAGTTTACCACACCAGTGGAACCTGATTATGAAAATATGTACTAATATTACACCACTGAAATGCCTCTCACTTGATTTTATTTGTGTCCATAGCTTTAGCATATTCGTCGATGACCTTGCCCATCTCGTCTCGTTTGGCAAACTGAACACCGCCAGTCATGTGGACTAATTTGATTCCCGATTCGTCCTCAACCTCTCGCCATCTTGAATGATAAAAGTTTTTGCAAATAAAAAGAATTTACTAATCGCACCTACAAAATAAATCTTAGTTGTTAATAATGATTGCAGATTCTTAACAGGGAATATACTGGAGATCAATATAATTTTTCAGTGCAATTTTCATATTTAGTTCTATTCATTTCGAATCCTTTCTTGTTTATTATTTCTTTAAGTAATCTAAATTTATAAGTAAAACTTTTTTGTTTGATTTCGTGCGATGCTTTGAGATTCGGTACAATACTTTTAATATTAACCTCTGCCCTAGATCTGCTAATGAAATATATTTAGTCGTTATGGTTTGTCGGTACCCTACATACTACGTCTACACTCTAATAAAGAGTTGATAAACTATAACTGTATTAATTTGACTATTTACGCTTAGTCCCAGACACACACTAACAGCACCGAATGTGTTTAAATCAGAATAATTTTCTGACTTCGTAAACATACCAAGATTTCCCACTTGACATTTTTTTTCTGAACAGTTTTTAACTTTACTTACGCTTTGAATGTATCTGGTGTGAGCTTGGTGTAGCGATCGTCGTGGTAGGCTAAACGTCTAGGTGAAAGAATGACAACAAAATTACTGTCAGTTGTGTAAAAAACTGTAGATAAAATTCTACATTCTACATTTAATATAGCTGGATTGACATTTCCACAATATATCGGTCTACAAACCACTATCACACTCATCAATTCGCTTTTGAATTAACAAATCCAAATTGTTTAAACAATTGGAAAATATTGACAAATTCTCACATAATTCTGGAATGGTCCTGAGATCCGCCATTACTATGACCGAGTTCGAACTGCTCTAGGCCTAAAACATCTGTCAAGTAAAAATTATTGTATTAATGTTAAAAAGGTATAACACTACCTTTTTTATTATTGTAAGAAATCCTCACCACTCGAATGCTTCTATCTTACTGCACTTAGACGAAATGCCATAGCATGAACATATAAATAAATTTCGTTTCTCTCCTATAGACTATAGAAGATCTGTTAAATATTTCGAAAACATACGTTGTCTTAAACGTGCAGTTGTTTCATATGATATCAAAACGAGTTTAAGCTTCTTGATATGTCATTTATGAAACGTTATGTTATATTTGCTACAATTCACCTATATTCCCTAGTTTCTATATTGTGTGTTTTTAATTACTTAAATAACGATCTATATAAAATATAAACGTTCGATGAGGAAGGAACTAGCGTCCGCAAATGACACAAGTGAATGGCATCTTTAAATACAAATGTAGAATTAGATACAGTAGAGTCAAACCATGAATTAAACAGTATATGTATATATATCTTTTTCGTATTTCTATGATTCGTCAATGTTGAAGGTTGCGACTGAGGAAAATCCAACTTGATCAAATGTATGTAAAATCCATATGAGGAAATGAAATAATCCCATATATCAATAAAGGTTATTACTTTCATTTATCTGATCATTTCAGAACAACGTTAGGTACATGATTATATTCTGAACAGTGCAATACATATCTAATATGATATTATCAGCAAGTAAGCAGGTTAACTGCTTTTGGAATTCGACAAGTATACTTAATAAAGGGTAAACTTTCTGTTTTGTTGAGGTAAGAAAGTTAATCTTTATATTGTCAGACTTGCTTCATTTATTTTTCTTTTTTTTTAGAATCGATAAAACATAACTGTATCTTAAGAAAAAAAAGAAAACTCCCAGTTTGTTGGCCAAAACCTACCACTACGAAGCAGCCTTTTGCTCCAGTCTTTCCACAGACTTACATATAGATAGTTTAAGTCCTTGGTTCCGACACGGACTTAAGATGGCCGCCATCACATTGGTGGCGTTTAACTAACTGCCGAAATCGTAGCAATAGCTGCTTGATTTTAAAATAGGTGGAAATGTTCATGACATTTCTCACTTAAGATCTTAGTTTAGGACTTGACGTAAACTGACTTCTGATTTTGGAACCAATTTCAACTAAAAGAAAAAAAAAATATGTTGTAAATGTCTCTTTAGGATCTATTCTTTAACCCACCTAGCATTGGTATAACACATCATCATTCTCTGAACTTGTTCAACTTGGACATACTCTAGTCACTGTTAATTTGTGTGATCGCTTAAATCAACCAATTTTTCAACATTTTAATTCCATATGTATGTTCATTTAGACCTACATACCTCAGACAAGCAAATGCATCATAGGTTAAAATTCAAGGTCACTTTTTGAAATTTAATTCTCGTCCAAATTTTGTCATAAAGGCAAGTTTATCGAGTCATTGGTCATGATGATACTTGTCATATATAGAAAATACATTATCCTGGAAAGCTTCATAAAGTTATATTATGATAACCACTTGCTTTGTTCCTTTATTTCTATACATCATACACAACATCTCTAAGTACCCTCAAGACTTTGATTATATGTATGTAATACGTCACAAATTTGTATCAATGGGTGAAATTTAAGCGATCGAATGGCCTTTGCTTATTCACTGTATCTTCCTCCCCCCCCCCCCCCCCCCCCCTCCCCCCACCCCCACTCGTAACTTTTCACGTCTACAGTAAAGTAAGTCATAATACAAAAATATCAAAAATACGTTTATGTTAACCGAAAAAAATTGTGACTATGAATTGCACGTATAGCATTAACATCAAAAATACATCTTATCTTAAAATACCTCGATTGCTTACCTGAGCCGGCCCGACGTGACAGCCAGTACACCGCCGCACTTCCAACCCCTCCACATCCAACAACGATATAGGAATAGAACCGTCTATCGGTCTCCATGTTTAGCTGAGTGACTGAGACGGAATACAATGCATCTAGTCTATTTATCTTACCAAGACGTATAGATGGGAGGCCTCATGTTATCTACCTTGGTCAATATTTGTATATTTAAATTTACTTGACAATGTATTTGACAGATGTTACTGATGATTTGTGTATTTACATAGATGATATACAGTTGATAAGAAAATTTATTATCATGCGTGTTCGTTACTCCTGGAAAGAACAAATATGATATAAAGCATCGAAATACTCTGATCGGTTGTTCAGTATTTTCTGTTTAACCTATATGAAACCATTTCCAGAACGCAAGAGCACAATCGTAAATCATCAAGAAAAAAACCAACGTAATCATAATCCAAACACCCGCCATATAAACCTTGCTCAACCAAAGTAAGTCATGTCACGTTCTAAAAAATGTGAACAATATATACAACAACGGAACAAACGGGCAAACTAATATCGTACAATCGTCTCAATGAGATTACTATGACATCTTAAAAAGTCATTTAATCGCTTACTGTAGGTGGTAACTATGTCATTAGATATTCTTCTAAAATGATCAAATATGTGAATTTTACGTCATTTACTAAATTATGGGGCTAGTGCACCTCCCCATCGGGATTACGATAATCTTCGGTCGTCTTCTAGGTTGAACATTTAGGCCCTAAGCATCGCTGTCGAGCCATAGAAGGAAAAAACAGCTGTATGATGCATTTCAATTCATTGTTTCGCCGTACATTAAATCTAAATGAATTTGCATTCGAAGCTGCTATTCACTGTAATGTCTTTTGTACAATTTTTCTATAGGGAAACAGATATTCAATTCTTCCGCAATGTAAAAGTCCTGTTTCTTTCCAGAATATAGCAACCAATATGTTGAAATGAAAATACAATATACAATAATATCAAGTGTGCAATACACAGTGGAGACAAGAAACAGTATAGCGTTACCCTTCAGGAGGTGTACATACATCAGGGATCTCAATATACACAAGGATCAGCTGTAGAAGCGATGGGGACTCCTCTGCTATCTATCCGAGTGATTACAGTCAAAAATATCAACGCTACAAATGTGGGTTAGGCATTTTCCTCCTCCTTACTCTCTTTGTCGTGCCAAGGCCTGTAATTTTTTTCTTTTGAATTTCTCATTGAAAGTAACTAAAACTGTAATTATTGATAAATTAATTAATTAATTAATTTATTTATTATAATTAATCCCCTAGTCTACCACTATTTCTGAAAACAATCATTATTTTGATACAGTTGAACTCCATTTATCAGTGTATTGTAACAATATTCTGCTAATCTGCATTTATTAGCAAGAATAGGTTAACGTGTGGTGTTCTGTAGAACGACAGTAATTTGTAGCAAATGTATCTCATTAACACAAAGAGAAAATTAAATAGGCGATATAAATTCTTAATGGAACAAACCGTTCTTGTATTTACTAAGTAAAAATCAGACATTGAATCATTGAATTAAATACAGCAATTTACAACATTGTACAACGAATGTATACCATTGAATATGTTATCTTCTACTACTTCATTAGCAATCTTGTGCCACACATTTTATCTATTAACAAAATTAAACGCCTTTTTGTAATCTAAAACCAACAGTATCTTTTCTTTCTTATTAATTACTTTTATTGTCAAACATATATCATTAGTGGTAGACAAATTGTTTCCTAAAACTAAACTATGCATCACTTATTTTTTGAATACATGCTATCAAATTACATTAGTCTGTTATTTGGAAACGCTATTAACATTTTGGCTACAATTTAATATATTAATTCTTGTATAACTATAAGAATCGTTTTCATCATATAACTTAGATATATGTACATGGTCAGCTGCAGATATTGGTTGCTTTCTCAGGTGACATCATATACAAAGGTTTCTGGTGTCTTAATATCCTTCACTTTCTTGCACAATACCCTTTACCGAACACAGCGTTCAATGCAAACTACTAGAGGCGATCCCTTATGTTTGAGTTTCTGGAATTGTCATTTGTAAAAGATTTTTGTACCTTTGAGTAAGATATATGTGTGTCACAGGATAATATATCATTACGGATGTGTTACAATCATCAACCAGTTTTTAATTTTTCTTTTTGAAAATTTTTTCATCGTGTTTAATTTTTTCATTTTCACAGTGACGCCGCAGGAAAAAGATATGTTCAGTGGTTAAAAATCAACAAATGTACATAGGGTTATACACAAAATAGACATACATATTCCGTGCTTGATATCTCTTGGTAACACGGGTACTTTAATTAGCAAATACGTCTTTGAATTTCTCTATGCCACTCTTCCTCACACTTTTGAAGTCCTATAATCTATACTATTAATATTTGTAAATGATATCACTGATATCTTTATGAAAGAAATGCGATGTTAACGTCTAAAATTGATATAATGGAAATGCATTTGTATGTGTGAACCATGTACCTGCTCCTTCACTGTGTTAGCCGTGGAAACGGATATTCCAGAAAGCAATGGGTGACAAGGAGAAAGTATAAAGAACACCAGAAGTGATGAAGATTGACATGTGGACAGTGTATCACCAGTTTCGCTTGCATGGAGAAGGAACAGATGCATGTGTATTAATATGTTTGGAAAGGGTTTTATGTGAGTTGTAAATTTGTGTCCAATTTACTTGATAATTATGTGCAATAAAATATGTTTAAATCAATCTGTATTATACACAATGTATAAATCTACTTAATGATACACACAGGAGGAGTTGTCAGCACGTCACGCTTGGCTTACATACCCAATAACTGTTACCCGTCTGTAAATAACAATACAAGCACATGTGTTGACACACAAGTACAACATATATTTATGTTACCACGTCACATGTATATTTATAATTTGTTATCTATAACAAAAGTAACATCCCAGTTTTGCTTTTAACTACATGTGGTGCAATCATATAGATGGGTTTATGTGGTAGTTAAGATAACTATACTACTGTATATCATGTGCATTATATACATAAGGATACTCCCATGCAACGATCACGTGAGGTACTTCCGGAAATTCCAGGTTTTTACATTGAGACGGCCATAACAGATCTACTTTCGGTATTAAAGTGTTATTCTCTGACTAGGAAACTCGCCAGGCTGCACCATGGCTTCCAGGGACTCCACCGCACAGAAACCAGTCCGAGTTAAGGGAAGTACCAAATGTATACAACACAACCAAAAAGATGTCGTTTACTATTGTGCGACATGTAGGACTCTAATTTGTTCAAAATGTGGTATTTCTGAGCAATATTGCAAACAACACGATCTGCTGGACATCTCTGAAGTTGCTAAAGAAAAGATGAAAGAAATCAGAACATTTATAAACAACGTGGAAAGCGGAGATTTACGAAAACTGAAACTGAAAATACAGTCAATCGATTTGAAGCTAGAAGAAAACAGCACACTGTTTAAGGAGCTTGGGAAGAAAATGAAAACACAAGCGAACAAGTGCAAAGAGGAGATAGACACTTTAACCGGGCAATTTGTCTCTCTTTGTGACAAAATGGAAAATATGAACGCAAAACTACTTCTTGAGTTCAAGGATCAACTAAACAACATGCATCGCAATCTTGTAGATAAGTGTAGTGAGTATAAACAAACCCTACAAAATGGGACTGAAGTGGAGATATTCGATGCTTCTGACACGTTACCAGACCTGGGTCAGCAAGTGATACCTGAACTTCCGGTAATGGAGAAGGTCGATGTTTTTCCACTGGAAAATGTTACTGGGCTGCTACAACAAGCTTTGGGAATATGTGATGCAATGCACAAACTGATGAAGAAACCCAAAATATTATCTAGATTCAGATATGATGATGAAGTCTTATCAGTTAACCCAACATTGGAGGAACATGCGTGGGTCCCCAGCAAGAACAGTGTTGCCCTTGTTGACAATACTGGAAACACCGTGCGGAAGTTATCTGTTGAAATAGGGAGCATGTGTGTAGCTCCCAAGACTGGTCATATCTGGTTTACAAGTTCGGAGAAGAATACCATCCACGAACTACCTCTTGCATCAGCAGAGTCACCAATCACAAGGTTCGAAACTGGGGACAAACCGCGTCGGCTGTGTGTTACTCCACAAAATTGTGTTCTCGTTGGCACAAAAGACAGAATATTGCTTTACACGGCAGCGGGAGCCATTTTGCTTAGTACGTCAAACACAACACAAGCATCTATTGTCAGACCCTGGAAAATAGCGCAATGTCCAGTTACTGGGAACATCGCTGTTGGGAATGAAGAAACTGAGCACGGGAATTATGAAAGCGAGTCCAAAAGTCACGTGATAGTTTTTGACCAAGACTTAAATATCCGATTTGTCTACAGAGGTGAGGATATTTCAGATTCCAAAGAAATTTCGTTCGCACCAGGATCCCTTGCGTATGACTACAAGGGTAACTTGGTCGTGGCAGACTACAAAAGGAACACAATAGAGCTGATGAGTGGGACTGGCGCATACATAAGAAGAATTCACACAGCGAAGGGGTTATGGCAAGGAAACATAGGCATGCAGCCTGACAACGTTTTGTGGTCGTTATTGCTCTCGGAAACAGGCAAACGCGAGATATTGAGGATCAAGTACTACACCAACTGAATGTTCATGTTATTTCTTAATCGGATCCAAAGAGGTAATCGACTCTATTAAATACATGAGGGTAAGAACGGTCTTGAATGAACAGTGGCCGTCATTTCATAGTAACCGATAATATCTTATCCTTATTTCGTCCATGGATATAGGATATTTTAGCACAAATACAAATCATGGGAAGGAAGTATTATACTGACTGCAAACCAACAAGTGATTAATTTATTTTATTTTTGCACATTTCGGTTGATAAGAATGCTCGATAGTTGAAAAAAGCAACATGATGGAACAATTTTTCCACTATCCCAACAAAGAGTTGGTTGACATTGTAGACAGAGTTAGTTGGATCAAATGCGTAAAGAATCTGTTGATCGGTTGTGAAAATATGTAGATGGCAGCTTATACCATTAACATTATAGACAAACTTCTTTGGTATATTAAAGGCTAACAGTATGGATGATTGAATTATACCATCCGGACAAAACAGAACCTCGTGGGTCCAAGAAGCAAAAGTGTTTCCTGGTTTTCCCAAGATACAATTTAGCTTAAATTAAACTACTCGAGTTGTTATTTTTGCGATAGAACGAATCACATTATTGTCCACGAGGAACTGTGGTGCAAATGCCTTGCACAACCTAAACAATAAAACTCTTATCGTCGATATGCTTAAAAATACCAATACATGGTTTCTGATGATACAATTAGTGAAAACCATTGATATACCATCTCTTTCTATCGCAAGGAGCCAGGAAAGTTATTACATTTTCACAGGTAATAGTACAAAAACAGATGAAGTATAAACCTTGCGCACATAATTCGCATCCTTCCTTAGAATGTACGAAGGACATACAAGTGAAGAGTGCCTATTAATACAAAATGAGTGTTAGATACAACAAAGAAAATGTTTACACGTGATAACGGATTTCAATTATGCAATGCAATTGATATGTATAATATCAGTTTGATTACATCTAGAAAGCATGTAGACTAGTAGGACAGAGAAAACATAGATTTTAGGAATAGCAGGACTAGAAGGACAGAGAAAACATAGATTTTAGGAACAGCAGGACTAGTAGGACAGAGAAACATAGATTTTAGATACAACAGGATTAATAGGACAGAGAAAACATAGATTTTAGGAATAGCAGGACTAGAAGGACAGAGAAAACATAGATTTTAGGAACAGCAGGACTAGTAGGACAGAGAAACATAGATTTTAGATACAACAGGATTAATAGGACAGAGAAAACATAGATTTTAGGAACAGCAGGACTAGAAGGACAGAGAAAACATAGATTTTAGGAACAGCAGGACTAGTAGGACAGAGAAACATAGATTTTAGATACAACAGGATTAATAGGACACAGAAAACATAGATTTTAGGAACAGCAGGACAAGTAGGACAGAGAAACATAGATTTTAGGAACAACAGGATTAATAGGACAGAGAAAACGTAGATTTTAGGAACAGCAGGACCAATAGGACAGAGAAAACATAGATTTTAGGAACAACAGGATTAATAGGACAGAGAAAACGTAGATTTTAGGAACAACAGGATTAATAGGACCCTCCACGTTTTATTTTTCAGTATTAATATAAACAGAAAAAATACAGACAATATTGATTTTACACTGCAAATGACTCAGATGTGAAGCGTGCGAATCGATATGGGGTCCCGCGGAGCATACACATATCTGTCAATGATAAAGACACAGGACGTTACTTACATTGCATAGTTCTGAACTTTGACAGAATGGAAACTTTCATTATTGTAAAGAATATATATATAGTTTTGTATTTTTTTTAATGGTAGGTGACCGTCTGTTCCCATAGTTGTTTATATAAGGTTATGTGTTTTGTAACGGTAGAATTTTTTAGATACAGGTACCGTTATAATCCTCTCGTTAATGATAACGTAACATGTTTATATGAGGACTTAAAGAGTATTGCGAAGAGTTTTTTCTTCTTCCTGTTATCAATCATTCCTTCATATATCATTAACTTGTTTAGAAATTAACGTAATGCAAACTAAAGATATATGCACGTCTAATCTTGTTTAAATCATCGATGCAAAAAAACTGAATCGGTTGTGCTTTGCTAGTTTTCAATTTAATTCAACACATTTGATTGTGTTTGATGTTCTTACACAAAAGGATGAGATAACAGGCAATGCCTATATACATCTCCTTGTCCAGTTCATATTGATTGATGTTAAATTTACAGTGATACAATAATATTCAATTTCATGTACACATTATATTAATTAATTATGGTAAATTGTGATTACTATCTTAGTTTTAACTTGCACCTGTCCCGCGTACATATTCATTTTAATGTATGTTTTAGGCAGTGTGTTTAATAATGGGTGTACACTGTCAAAGTGCTGAACTAAAACAAACTAAACAAATTAACTAGTATATAATTCTAATTATCAAATATAAAATATTGAAATTACGCCATATTTACACTTGAGTATATACTGATATGTAAGTCAATACAGTGTACAGAGACCCGATAACACTGGTCCCATGACGTCACATCAGCGTAAAATGAGGCTTCTGAATCTACACCTATGTACATATATCTTAAAAAAGGCACCGATTCCCAAACACTTATTTTTAAAAAAAAATTAGTGTCGGAATCCTGGATAGATTGAGAAATTAACCTATAGGGGAAAAATGTTCACAAATTTTGGGAAATATTTTAATCTAATTTTGAATTCGGTGATATGGCGAATTTCTAGTGGAAATCCTTCTTTATTCATAGTAAATAAATTTTTGAACTTTCAAGAAAGGCACCAATTCCTCAAAACTTATTTTTTGTTTTTGTTTTTGTTTTTTTTTTCAAATACCATATTAAAGTTTATAAAATTATCATCCAAATGTATACGGGAAAAATACTGTCATTTAAACGAAAAAATGCTTTATTCAATTTTAAAGATTTTCTCTCTATATAATCTATAGTAACAGTACAGGGAAACAATCGACTCAGGCTTGCGCATGCGCAGCACGCTACAGGAAAGATTGCTGGTAATGCATTAATCTTCCAAAACACCTAATCTTAATTCCCTTTAAAATTTTTAGGGGTCTTTGTTTAAATTTTTCTTTCGGTCAGATTTTTGCCCTAGTTTTATGGAATTTTGGTGAAGATAATGATCATTTTGAATCGATCATTTTTACACGCCACTATTCACTATAACCAATTATATATTATAACATATACTGGTCAGAACGAGAGTACAAAACAAATTCTGGTGTTTAACTAACGCATCCTTTTTCCTGAGCTATGCCATTAGTTTCCTTATGTTACTTAACTCTTTGACACTTTCAGTCTTATATCGCTTAAAATACTTTCCCCTTAAAGCAAAACAGACACAATGTATTTCATTATTCCACTATGCATTAGATACTTTCCCCTTAAAACAAAATAGATACATTGTATTGCATTGTACCACTTGCGATGACAATACTGTCATAAGTGTGATAAGTGTGACATTGTTGTCATCGAGACGTCACACTGAAATCTTCTATTTGTTGATAATAAAAACTTCTATTTTAAAGACATTACCTACCTGAAGAAAATGTTTAAAAAAAGTATCCAAGATTTATATTTTTGAAGGAAGGCAAAGTAAAATGAAAAACTATTTCATTAATGATATAATTACGATGTCATCGATGAATCAGAGGACGCTTCTTCGGAGGAACACCTGGGCCCATATTCACGAAATCATGTTTATACATCAGAAATCAGATTTATCAATGAGTTATTTGAGGTTAACACAAAATTTGTGTTTGAGCATGAGTAATATGTATATGAGTGAATACCCAACGTGTTCTTATTCTCCTTGTCCCTGTTAAGTCAAATTTGAGTTTTAAATAAAGTCCCTTCCACACTTACATTTTTATTGTGTGTTTTTTTTCCATGTACGATTTACATGAGGTTATGTTTTCGAATAGCGATCGCTATTGATCAAAGATAGGTTTCTGGAAAAGCTAATAAGCCAGTGATTTAGTGAGAACTGTGTCGATAATTTATATCAATGATTTATTTACAGTTAAATTATAAAACAAGAAACGGAAAGTTTACTGTTAATAAAGTGATCTATCAATACAATAACAATATTTACAAAATAGTGAATCTTACAGTCAAGCCCTTGACTTCGTGTAACAGTAATAATCACAGTAAACGACGTGAGCTACAGTAGTTAATCTACAGTAAATGGACGTTCTGTAATTAGTCTATTTTAGTCTACTGTACCATAAAATCACGTGGTACAGTGTAATACATCAGTTTACATTAAATCATGTGATGTAGTTTAATTAGGCCACAGTAAATTATGCGACTTTTTGTTCACAGTAATCACATGACGTCCCTTAGTTTGCAGCAAATCACGTGACTGGGTATAAGAGTAATTTGTTTACAGTAAACGACGTGACTTAATGTAACAGTAAATATTTTACAGCAAATTACGTGACTGAGTATAAGAGTAATTTGTTTACAGTAAACCACGTGGTTTTATTAACAGTAAATTTTTTACAGTAAATCACGTGACTTACAATAACGGTAATTACTCTACAGCAAATCACATGACTTAGTATAACAGTAATCATCTACAGCAAACCACGTGACTAGGTTAAGACAGTAATTAGTTTACAGCAACTGACGTGACTTACTAAATCAGTAATTAGTTTATTATAAATCACGTGACTTAAGTGTAACAGTAGTATGTATCAAAAATGACACCTTGCAGTATACAGTTAAGCATGTGAATTACTGCAACGGGGATAACCATACGACTTATCATAACAGTTCTTGTAGTTACATTGTAAGTCGTGATATATACATCTGTATATTTATATATAAAGATACCTTAACACAAAGTAATACAACATCTAAAAGGACACATTTTAAAGTACTAATAAATGACAGCAAACTACCTTAAAATACTTGTCGACAAGGACAATAAATGGTTTTACTGATAACAGAAAACAATGTACAAACCCATAAGT